ACATATATATGTTGGGACATCACCACACTGCACCATCTAGTTCCATGGTAAGCTACGAGGCTTGTGTTATGGATACCGGGTAGTTGGTACACTACACGTATATACCTTTAAATATATACAAATTATAAATATAACCCATGACTGGAGTACAAACATTCGTGCTCATCACACAAATGAGTGGAATTCGAACCCGCGATCGCTGGCAGAGCAAGTAGGCTAGTACAAACTGAGCCAAACGTGTCATCAAAAAGACATAGTATAAGATATACAAAATGTAGAATGTAGAACTATACATACATACAAAACATATGACCTGAATACTTCCTGAAAGTAAGCAGGTATGAAAATTTACAATAAAGGAGAAAATGAAAGGACTTGGCTCTTTACTACCACTGAAGTTTTCGATAGGATGAAATTTTCGTAACAAATAAACAATTTCTCACATGCTTTGCTGACATCATTATTGGCATTAGTGTCGAAACAATTTTGTTGCTTAAGCATGAGTCATTTTGACATAACTAAATAAAACAAACACTTGAAATAACAAGAAGTTATCAAAACGTAGATTAAAAATAAATTTAATTGTGAAACCCCAATTAGAACAAAAATGGTATACCACTTATTGATAACAATCCTAAAATATTTTATTACTATACAGATAAATAAAATTGAAGTCTGTTTGTAATGTCAAAATAACAGCTTTTTACTAAATGCATATAAAAGTATATACCTACGGTACTTATATAAAAAAAACAATTTTTATTTTTTTGTCTGTCTATCTGTTTGTTACGGGTAATCTCCGAGACGGCTGGACCGATTTTGACGGGACTTTCACTGGCAGATAGATGATGTTATAAAGAGTAACCTTAGGCCATTTTCTTTTAGAAAAAGAATCGAGATTCCGCGTAAAAAAAATTAAACCCATGAAATTGTAAATAAAATCCGCGTATGTATGTCTGTTACTCTTTCACACAGAAACGGCTAGACGGATTTAGATGAAGTACGCAGATAAATATGACGTGGGGTACATTTGTTACTGTTAATAATAAAATTTGTCAAAAGTTTATGCAATATAATACAAAAGGAAGCAACGCCGGGGTAAGCCGCTAGTTTTATACATGCCTATATTTCTAACCGTCTCTGCTATATGAAGAAGTTGCTTAATTCTTTGACATGTTATTATTTTCATAGCAATCAAACAATATTTGCTATTTCGGATGTCACACTTATATCATAAATGTCAAAATTATTTCGTTATGTACTTTGATTATGACAACATTGTAAGGTACGAGTACTACTTTGTTAGGTTTACGTGAACATTTGACCTCTAAACATATAATAAAAGTCGAATCTGTACATTAAATATTTTTTGGAAAATCTTATTGAAATAGACATTATTATCGATGCAGAGGCCGAATCTATAGTTTTTAGATTTTTTGTCTGTCTGTCTGTGACGGCATCACGAGTAAACCACTGGACATATTATGTAATATAATGAAATTTGGTATGATGATAGCTGGTTATCCTGGTCAACATATAGGATACTTTTTACTGCTGGAAAATCTCTCATCTCTGAGAAATCTAAACTAAACGTAAAACGTATTTCTGAATTTTTCGCAGATTTATTTTGACTTTCAGTTCGAATACTTTACAGTTTACAGCAATCACGGTCTCTTCCGTGAAGATAGTTTTATTTAAACTGTTAGATACATAAAAAAAACTATAATAATCTTAAATACAAACTACAAAATAAAATTACTAGATATCCCAAATTATGAGGAAACTACGTATGAAGGAACTTATGGATTAAATTATTACCTACAATTATTATATACTCGTATTTTAAGGAAAAATTCTTTGTAAACTTCAATCTTATCAATTCCGAGCCGCATTTTTCACAGAAAATTTGTCAATGTCACTGTGTGGTGTAAATATTTACTACAATAATATTACAAAGATGCCGAATGGTATAAAACGTAAAAAAAAAAGGTTGGTCTTTTAAACTTAATCTATAATATAAAAATGAATCACTGAATGTGTTAGTAAGCGCTAATCTCGAGAGCAGCTGAACCGATTTCGCTAATTATTATTTTTTTTGAATATTCCTTGAAGTACGAGGATGGTTTTTACGGAGAGAAAAATTTAAAAATTGCCTGAAAAAGTCTAAAAACAAAACTTTGCTATACTCCCATACAAAAGATTCGTAATAACAGCTTTTTACTAAATGCATACAGATGGACACGATACATATACCAAAACAACATTTTTTACAATTTTTGTCTGTCTGTCTGTCTGTCTGTCTTGTTGTTCCGGCTAATCTAATCTCTGAAATGGCTAAACCGATTTCGACGGGACTTTCCCGGGCAGATAGCTGATGTAATAAAGAGTAACTTAGGCCACTTTTATTTTAGAAAAGAAATAGGGTCCCCACGAAAAAAAAAAAAACCAATGAATAATTTAATAATATTCGATTCAAATAGGGAAGTTGTATATATACCCTAGGGACGAACCCGAGCGAAGCGAGGGTGAGTAGCTAGTATCTATATATAAATAAGCAAAACAGTTAAGTACTTATTTTCTCACTTTGTCAACCAATTTTCTTTTTTTTTTTGTTTATTAGCTAAATTGATTAACTTCCCTTGGTTTGCCATCAACCATCCACCTTTTATTTCATCACAATGGTTTAAATAATTAATTATATATCTTTTAAAATTTACATCATAGAAATATATTTTATAATTAGCACAGATTAAAAATCCCGGATCCACAGACAATAAAGAATGTAGCCCGAATCTATTTCCGCCGGCGATGTCCGTATTGGATGCTTTCCAAACACACAGACGTGTCTATTGCAATTATTTATATACTTATAAAACTGTAAGCTGGATATAGAATATTACTATTTTATGTAATAAAAGACAGTATAATTGATATTTTTGCAATTTTTACAGCGTCGTCCATTTTTTTAATACAAACTTTTTCATAACAAGTAGATATTATTGTGAAATAACTTATTAAAGATTTATAATATCATTAAATTTTCACGAAAGCTTATAAGTATATTCGTTTGTATATGAAGCAAATTAAATTCATAACAAACAAAAAGCTTTTGAGAGGTTATAGTAGCTTTGGTACCTTCAATTTGAACGATGAAGGTAAGATGAAAATCTAAGCATTAAAATGGTACAAAATATGATAGTCTCTCACATTTATCTTCGAGAATACTTGGAACCTTATGATACGGTACTTATTAAAAATTCATTTTTATTTTTTTGTCTATCTGTTTGTTACGGCTAATCTCCGTAGCGAATCTCCGTAAACTATCTCAAATACAGCTCTAATTTAAGTTAAATTTAGCTAGTGAGTGAATACGACACAGTTATACTTACATACGCGTACATACAACTTCCTGTGACTGCATTTGCACAATGTATCACTGAAATAAAACATGACGGTGTTGCCAGAAATAGTCAGTTATAAAAACGGTAACCCGGTTTCAGCTATTATATGTAATGTTTATTTATCAGTGATGAGCCAATACGTATGTTTGTTCATCACGTAAAATTGTTATATATATACGCTTGGACGGTCGGAGGTTCTATTCTTCATTGGTGTTATTACGAAGGGGTTGGCTCGATGTGTGTATGTATGTTCCCTATGAACTCTAAAACGGCTAAAGCGATGTTGATGAAATTTTCAAGCAATCTTCAGATTAGCCCAGCGGGTGATCCTGTGAAGTTTGGTAGCGATCGGAAATTTGAACGCGGGCGAAGCCGCCGGTACTGCTAGTAGGTAGGTATTATATGTATAATGTATATTTATACATCAATGGGGGAATGCTGCTGGCATTCTTGCCACAATTCCACGCGGACATGATTTGTTTAGTATATAATTCTAAAGTAATAATTGTTTAGAAATGTTTAAAAATAAAGAATTTCAATATATTTTCTACTAGCGACGCACCCTCGTTTCGCTCGGTTTCGTCCTTAGGTCGATTCCCCATACAAAATTTCAATCCCATTTTCATCCCCTTAATAGACAAGTTCCGGGATAAAAACTATCCTATGTTATTCCCAGGCTCTCAAACTATTTTTTTACCTTATCTAAATCGATCCAAAGGTTTCGGAATCTATTCCATACAAACAAACAAACAAAATATCAAATCTTTCCTCTTTTTAATATTAGTATAGATGTACTTATTCTTTAAGGTTACATACAGGTTAAAAATGTATGAACAGACATGCGTGTATGACGAGATTGATAACTATAAATATCCATATGAAATTGTCGTCCAAAGACTTAGCTATCAAGAAAAAAAACGGTTAAATAATAATTACAGTACACAATTGCTTTGCATCTCGAAGTCTGACTTAACTACAACAACGATTTACTTGAGTAAGGGACAAGGGTCACCATATAGTGATTATTGAAAATTATGACAGTTCAAATAGTAATAGTTTTACTTTTTTTAATAACAGACAGCCTGACAGACAGTCTTTAAATGTATTGAGTTAAACATTTTGTACGATCAACACAAAAAGGTCATCCGGTACAATGTACACGTATTACGATAAGTCTGTCTGTCAGTGTACATAATAACACCACGAGCAATATAAAATTAGTATTGCCTAGTGGATATTTTTAAGAAACCACAAAATGCGAACTATATTATAGATATATAATCCTTAGAAAATGTAGTTGTTTTAATATTATTATAGATTTCAAAAAAAACGGGCTTATTATTATAATACTTTACCGCTGTAAAAAGTATCCTATATGTTGACCCGGATAACCTGCTAATAACTATAGATTCGGCCTCTGTATCGATAATTATTACTATTTCAATAAGACTTTCCAAAAAATATTTAATGTAGTACTGGCTTTCTAACCAGTGAGTCCCACATAACCACCTGTATGTATAGGTGTTATGCCTAAATACATTTCCCAACATTGGAAAAAAAAGGTTCATCTCTAGTTGCCTTACCGTAACCTGTGTGTTACTCCAGGTTATAATCTTCTATCTGGGCACTAAATATCATCCAAATCGATTTAGCCGTTTCAGCGTAACAAACAAACATACAAACATTCACATTTTTAATACTAGTCCGATTATAATTATCATCATCATCTCCCTGCCCATTTCCCAAATTATTTGTGGTCGGCGCAGTAAGTTTTTCTCTTTCACTCTTCCCTATACTCATCATCCTCCTGTCATCCTCTTTGATGTCCCGACTCACGCAATCGATCCATCTTTTCTTCGGTGTTCTTCCATCCATCACTCTTCTCGTCACATGCGTCCGATGCAGTCTCAAAAATCCCCAAAGCATGGTATCTCCAAAGTACATTCCAGTAATAAAGCTACATAAAGCACTCATTCAGGTCTCATGTTTCAGCGCGTGCGCAGCTGAAGAGATTGTGTAACGTGTAGCTTTGTGATTTATTATAATATGAATTTTTTGTATGGATTATACATACTATAAGTTAGAAGAAGTCTGTTAAGTTAGAAGCGCAGTGGATTTCATTGTGTTTAGTTCAATATTTTTAGTTAGTTTATAGAATCTGTATTTTTAATAATAATTAAACTGCGGTTAGACTCATAACCGGAAGTACGTCGTGAAGAATGATCGTTTATTTTATTTTAAGTTTAAGTAAATTTGTTAATTGATCTAAACGTCATAATATAATAAATGAAGAAGAAGAAAATGAAACTGGTTCCATTTTAGCTTCTGGCTATGGAAATCTAAACGACTAATTATTTATAACTTTGCGTAAAACGACATATTTGCTACATGTCAGAATAGAACCTGTGATCTTTGATTCAATAAGAACTAACCCCATTTTATAGTTTACTTACCCAACTTTTAATTACCTTACCATTAAAAATCAAACAAATTTACGTCAAGAGCAATAAATAACACGCACTGAAACAAAGTGAAAAGCGTGACTCAATCACTAGAGAAAGTGCCGAACCAAAAACTATAAAACTGTCCGTCTGTCTCGTGTCAGAGCCTTGTACGGAGATCACTTAGATCTGTATTTATCTTGAAATCTATGTTAGAGATGTCCGTATTTTATTTATATCGATATATAATAAATTTATACTTATTTTTATTTTTATTGTAATTTTTATTTTAATTGTAAAAACGATAATTTCATTTAATTAAAGTTCATATAGAATATTAATATAATAAATTAAAAATACATGATCTAAGCAAAAAAAAACTGTTATTTTTTTTTTCAAATTACTAAAAAAAATATTAGTTATTTCATTAAGATACACCTTTAATAAAAGCAAAACGCTGAAATGGACACTCTTGGTAGACAATTGGTAGATGTTTGGTACATTAATTCATTCATTCATAAACCTTTATATAGATATCGATAAAACATCACTAACCGACACAATTTTATATAGGCTAAACCACATCCATATAAAGCAAACACTGTCTGGCATTCACGTTTATTGATTGGTAATGAAAGTATGAAGACGTTTTGCCTTATGTAGAAATTTCTCTATGATAATTGTTCTATAAAAAGTAGCGTAACAAGTTGTCTGAGATACTTTTCCTGTTCGCCTTTGAAGGATATACAATCGATGAAGTGAAAGTGAGGAAGGCTATATGTAAACCTTTCTTACTATTTTTAATTATGTACATATTAAGTGCTATTTATGTAATTTATCGGTTATTTTTTTAACTTCAGGATAAAAAGTTTGTATATTACATCCTGTGATTTTTTCAGGAATTTATTATGATTTTTGGTTCCCGACGTTTTGAATGCTTTACAGCAATCATGGTCACGGGAGTCTCTCCGCGAAAAAATCCGAAAAGATAGTTTTATTTAAAATGTCATATATTCGCGTAAATCTAAGAAAGTATTATAATATTGATAAATTCATCCATTATTTAGTCAATGAAAGTATATGTAAAGAAAAAAAGACAATTAATGTGCGTCTGGAAACTGCCTTTAATATATATAAACCTTAAAGTATGCGTTAGTAAAAATAATAAATTAATTAGATTTAAAGATGCTCCACGAATAAAAATTAAAAAAATCAATATTAAAAGCACGTTCAACAATCAATAATACGGAAACCAATGAATAATATGTACATACGAGTATAAAAATATTTTTTGTCCATCTGTGCATCCTAGCAGTGGTTAACCTTAGTAAGTTAAATAAAATATATTTACTCAACTGGAAATACATTCTTTTATTCTTGATATATGCTGATTGTATACAGAGTAAGTAGAGGCCAGGCACCAAACTAGTAAAAGCTCAGCTTTTATTACAAAGTGACACTTACTAACTTTAACACTTCTACACTTCTCATTAGTTTTAAATATATAATTAACACTTCTAGATGTAAATGATATTTAATAATACATAATATATACATATAACAATATAACAGACAGAGACGTAACAAAAGACTTACTGTACTGCTATATTAATTTTTGAATCAAAATTCTATCAGAAAAATTTGTATGGATCATCCATTATTTGGGAAGTATTAGAGGCAGGAATGTATCTTAAACTAGTTTATTTTCCACAAAAGAAATTAATTAATTAAAATATAAAAAACTTTTCAAAACTTATCTAGTAGACCCCATTTCACCTCCTTAAAAACTGATTTCCGGAAAAAAACTATTCTATGTTCTTCCCAGGGTCTCAAATTATCTTCTTGCCAAATTTCATCTAAAACGGTTCAGTAGTTTCGGAGCTAATTCAATATTCGGTACAAACAAAAAAACAAAAAATCTTTCCTCTTTATAATATTAGTATATTGCTAATTATGTTTTCTTCAATTTTATTACAAGTTTCAATGACGAATAAGCTAAATTTAGTATGTTATTGATGAAAATTTTATTACTCTGTACATCATTACAAAAACAATGCATGGTCGTCTGTGCGTTTAACACGTTTTAAAATTATTTTTATAGTACGGCTTTTAGCGTGCCTCCTCGTATCGGTGGTTATTTTTTATTCATTGAACGTGTCATTCAAATAGTCTGTGGAAAACTTTCAAAGTGATATTTTAAAAATCATCATATTTATACATATACTAGTGACACACCCTCGTTCCGCTCGGGTTCGTCTCTAGTTACGTTTTAACGTTTAGCTCAGAGATGACATAAATTTCCCACAGTAAAAAGGATCCTATATGTTGACCCGGATAACCAGCTATCATCATACCAAATTTCATCAAAATCTGTCTAGCGGTTTTTTGGTGATGCGGTCTCAGACAGACAGACAGACAAACAAAAATTCTAAAAACAAAAAATAGATTCGACCTTTGTATCGATAATAATGTCTATTTCAATAAGATTTTCCAAAAAATATTTAATGTACAGTTTCGACTTACTCGTAGTTAAAATTTAATTACATGTATAGATTGTGCCACTATAAATAATGAATAAAAAATATTATTTCTAGAAATCATCTCTTAAGGGGTTGAAAATGGAAATGAATGTTTGTATGGGAATTGGGGAAGCAAGCTAGGGACGAACCCAAACCAAGCAAGGGTGAGTCGCTAGTATAATATAATATTAGTATAAATGATTGAAGAGATATCATAATAAAACATATTTAGTTAATTTACATAATTTTTGTATCAAAACGAATAATCCTTGAACTATCATTACGTAAATAGATACAGCGTCCTGAAGATGAACTTGGCTGGTATCCAAACGAGCGGCTGCAGTCAACGAAATTAGTAACGTACAAACATACTGTCATACGGTTATTACTGTACGATGAGGTTGAAGGAAAAACATCATATTTAACCGACATCAAAAATTAGAAATTCGCTAAGTAAGAAAGTAGGTAAGAGTAATAAGAACAGATACTTGTTGAAATTGTTTGAATAATTAAATTGATATCCTTTAGAACAACAGTTTAGATAAAATTACATTGTACAATTGCTAATACTAATAGAAAACAAAAACTGTAAAAATTACATATTTATATCAAGTAGTCCTTTCTATGATTTTTATTATTCTATCAACGATATCGATTGTAGAAACTCAACTTATCGGTGAACCGATTTTGGAAATTTTTTTGATAAAAGAAATCTACATCTCTAGTTTTATATAGGTTATTTTTGTCGATGTAAATGCGAGCGAAGCCGTGAAAGAAAACTACACAATATTTGAATTGTGAGTGTTTGAATGTGAGTTACATAACACGCAGTATATAAGAGTATGTATATAATAATAGCCAGTGGTAGCTCAGTGGTAACGTGCTCGCTTGGGAAACCGAGTGAAGCGAGTTCAAATCTCGTGTCTCGCACCTCTGATATTTTCATGTGCGAATCATTTCCAACATATTGCCACTTGTCTTACGGTGAAGGAAAACATCGTGAGGATGCATCTGAGAGAACCTAGCAAGTTTTCGAAAGACATGGGAAGTCCGCCAACCCGCACTTGGCCAGCGTGGTGGACTATGGCTAGATTCCCCTTGTAGTATAGGGAAGCCCACCCCCAGCAGTGTCACGTAAAAAAAGGACACAATACAAATTACATAACACACATTACTTTCAAGGCTGATGCAAAAGTGACCTAAATTTTATATGTAGCAATGACGTGCGTGAGAATGAATCAGTTTGAACACTGTTTATAAAAATAATGTTTATACGATCTTTCTAAACAACGCTAGTATAAGAAACCGATTACATCATAGCCCATCTGGCAGATGCAAAAATCCTGGGTTTGAGTCCCGGGATTGGTTAAGTATGTTAGTGGTTTTTTTGTGAAAAAAAAATCTTAGTAAGAGCCCGGAGTCGATCCACTGCCTGATCTCCCATCTTCTCAAATTATCATCCCAACGATCTTTGAATTGAAAGGAATAGAGTGCACTCTCTCTTTTATTTGTACAAATACGCAATAAAATGACTACTTCAATAAGATTTTCCAACAAATATTTAATGTATAGATTCGGCTTAGTTAGAATTTTATTATATGTATAGATAATCATATTTTTGAGGTTAAGTCAAACATACTGACATGGTTAGTACCCGATAATAATTACATTATATTTATGTTACCTTCACATTATAGATATGATTTGTTTATGAATCCTTGTTATTTGTTTACGGTCGGCTCACGTTCGATGCGGTTATTTTAGACCTAAACTTATATATTAAGTTCATTATTAGAGGAAATATCCATTTATATATATGTACGAACTAGCGACTCACCCTCGCTCCGGTCGGTTTCGTCCACAATTATGTTTTAACGTTTAGGATAGGTTTCTCATAGATGAGATCTTTTCCTGC